TAAAGTCGCGTAATTCGCGACGCATGCGTTTGGAAATCTGCCTGTACAGTTGTCTGTATGCTATCAAATCTACTGAAGACTGCAGCTTCATTTCCCGTATAACAGCCATGAGATTAAGAGTATAATCGGAGAGTTTTTGTGCTCTTCTGTGGCGGGTCTTGCAAAACTTAGCTCCGACTGAATGGACAGTTTCCACGAGCTTGCCATTCATATCATTCATAACATCCATCAAGAAGGAACTTAGTTGTGTTTAACCCTGAACCGTATAACTCATTAAGAGATCGCTTTAGTTCCCTATTTGTAATTTTGTGATAAGTGAATCCGGGACATTGAATGTCGAATTTCGAACTACTATCCTTACCGTGTTATTAATCGTGAATTAGGCGAGTTTAAGTTAGTTAAATGTACAATGAAGCTGATAGACTGAAATAGTGACAATGAAGAAAGAAATGGTACAGCGGTGGAGCCTGCTGGAGCGATGCAGCATTGTGGGGCATCCTGGAACTAGGCCGCTACTGGTCGCCTAAGTTGGTCAAGGTCTCAGACATTTACACATCACTGAACACTACTTGCCATTCACCTTACACCCACTCACGGCCTGGCCGAACCTTGGTGCGAAGTTAGCTTCTGATACTGGTACGTACTATGTGTTTCTAGCATTCTCCCATATAGTTTATTATGATAGGACATTTCCATATAGCCATTCGGGCTCGAACCCGTGGCTGCCCGTTGAACATTCCGCTCATGGGCCCCGGATATTGAACCTTTGCATGGGCAGCTGCGGGCCGTAACACTACTGTATTTACAAAAAAGTGTACAGTTATACCATAAGAATATGTTTTAGAAGGGAGTTTGCATACACCGTTATTCAGAAATAAGATTTTAGTGATATTTTAATAACACTTAGAGCTTTATAAGGAAGTGATAGCGCAAAAAACAGCTTCTATACAGCTTTAATGATAAAATCAGATTGAAGTGTTGTAAATACTTAAAGTTGTTTACTAGAGTTTTCATATTGTGATTAAGAACTCTAAGCTTACTTAGATCCCATAATACAGACTTTATACACTTTGAGCTGGATAACTCATTAACCACTCTTATAAGGATGCAACCAGTTTTCTTTACTCTTATACGTTTTTAAAAGAACTCCTAAGTTCTGTGTGGGATATATTGATGTTTATAACATTTGTGTGCTGCTTTGGTGAGAATTCCTTGACGGAAAAATTCAATAACTAATTTTTATGACACGACTGAGATTCGAACCCGACCTCATGATTAGCAGTCGCGTTTACAAACACTAGACCAACGGGGCTGTCACTTTTACTCTATATTCTCCATATTTAATCGTGGTAAAGCCATGCTGCAGCTATATTATTAGTATAGTTGTAGCACAAATGGGTCAGCTCAACCGGGGAAGGACCACGCTCTCACAGAATACCAGCGTAAAATAGCAGCTTAACACTGCTGTGTTTCGTATTGTTAGTGTAGAGAACCGGAGACCCTTTTTACTGGAAAAGAGGGAATCCATTTTAGTCCTCACGGGTGACAACGCATCTGCATTTTGATTCGCAAACAAGGATAAATGTAGATGTCTATGGGTCACAGCAACCACTTACCATCAGGTGGACTGTGTGCTCGTTTGTCACACTATCCTATAAAAACAAACTTTTCTTTCACAAGAAGAATATTATGCTAAATTCGTATCGCGCTAAAGCTTACTTTCACAGATTATGAATACAAATATTTACAAAAACAATAGAGTGGCATTTGAAACGCTCGATGCAACTGTGTAACTAAATTCAAATGTGAACTTGAAAATAATCCGACCGCTGCTCTTAAAAATATAACGAGAATAACAAAGAAATGGAATTTTAATATCTACGAACGAGATAGTATGTGCTCTGTTGTTTCTAAAGAGCGTGGAAGGATTTTACAGCAAGAATGAAAAGAATTTAATTAATTCTCGTTAATATAAAATAGTTATATGAAAAAGATGTTAAATTTCTAGAAAAGTCTTATGGGTATTTTAATTAAGTAGGAATGAGACCAGTATTGCAATGTAGTTACATATGGTCACTTTAACCTATAAGTTCATCCATATCGCCAGCGCAATTACCTAATTTATGTGATCCCGTTGGTTTTTTTTTAGACACAGTCTACCTGATAATAAGTGGACTTTGCGGCACACCTACATCCATCCCAGATTAAGAATTAAAATGCAGATGCGTTGTCATCCCTAAAGACTAAGATAGAATGCTTCGTTTACAGTAAAGAGAGTCTCCGGCTCTTATCACACACCATAGGAAACATCTGAGGGCACGGCAGGGGGTACTGCCAAGTCGAGCAAAAAAGCGGCACGGCCGTACCATCCTTTTCTCGAAGCAGTTCAGGCCATTTTCGACACCCTATAACTTAGCGGTGGATAAAACTAGAAGCCTGAATTTTCAGTAACCAAGCATAAGTTCATTGGGAAATTGCATTGTATAAACACGGTATATTTCAAATTTCATTCGGATTGAACCAGTAGTTTAAGAATTATAACCAGTCAAAGTTTCTTAATTTTGTCACTCACTGACTGACCGATCATCAAAACTCTAAGGCACTTCTAGCAGACGTAGAAGCTTCAATTAGTGTTTAGTATATAAATCAAATTAACCGAGTTGGTATTACATGGATCTCACAACTTATTATGGTAGAACAGAGTTGCGAGATTTGTTTTTTTTACATGTTATGTTTTTGATGGTTGTAGTTTTTTGCTAACCATTTCACACTGGTATTTCACCAATCAATACTGCTTTGAAAAGAAAAATAGTCGGTATATTTATAAGTCATGAGGCTTTTCTTCTTATTCGTCAGGGTTGACAACGCATTTGTAACTTTCCTTTAGGTTGGTAAAGATGCCAATGGCCACAGTAATAGCCATTTACCATGAAATGATATATTAGTCCGTTTTGCACTCTTGTGTTATATAGATTAGATTAGATTCAATATCGTGATCTTGTGACCTGGTTGACTGACCAAAGATCATGGCTTTTCTACGTAATTCGCATGGATATTTAATTTTGTTTCATTGTTAGGGAACTAATGCTGTATAGCAATTATTGCGTTATTGAAATTATTAATTATATTAAATTGTTAAATTTACATTGCTCACGGCGAGCGGGTTGGCAACCGCAGTTTTTTTATTGCTTTTTGTTGTTATCAGAAAGATGCTGCAGCCCATCTTCTGCCTCAGTTTCCCTCTGTCGTCTTTTATGACAGCCACGGGAAGATATGGAGTAGTGATTATTCTTACCCGCCATTACGCAGGTGGCTCAGGACCGTGCTTTGTGGTATTCCTTGGCGGAGGCCTATGTTTAGCAGTGGACTTGTGAAGGGTTGTAATGATGATGATGATTAAATTTACAAGGCGCAGGTTCGGTATCACATGGAATACAGTTCTCATCTTTGGGTAGGGGCTCCTCAGTGTCAGCACCTTCCACTGTATCGCATCTAGCGTAGAGATCGAATCGTCGACGCCCGAGTTCTCTCTGAATGACTCGATTCACTGGCGCTGCGAAGAAATGTGGCATCCCTTTGCATTTTCTATCGCATTTACCACAGGGAGTGCTCTGAGGAATTATTCGGATCATTCCAGCCGCCAAATTTAACCAACGCACATCACGACAAAACTCAAGTTATCATCCATATCATCTGGATGCTTGGCGGTCTACTACCGTGAGATTTACTTTTTTACTGATTGATTACTAATTCAGTTTTTTTTATAGGATAGGTTGACAAACGGGCACACAGTCCACCTGATGGTAAGTGGTTGCTGTGGCCCATAGACATCTACATCTATCCTCGCATGCGAATCAAAATGCAGATGCGTTGTCACCCGTGAGGACTAAGGTGGAATGCCTCTTTTCCAGTAAAAAGGGTCTCCGGTTCCCTACACTCACCATACGAAACACAGCAGCGTTAAGGTGCTATTTTACGCTGGTATTCTGTGAGAGCGTGGTCCTCCCCCGGTCGAGCCGACCCATTCGTGCCACATCTATACTACTAAAATAGCTGCAGCATGGCTCTACCACGTATAAAACTTATTCCTCGCACGACTACTTTGTGGAATCATTTACCACCGGTGATTTTTCCGGACCAATATGACTTAGGGGTTTTAAGAAACGAGATTACTCCTTTTTAAAAGGCCGGCAACGCATTTGCAAATCACCTGGTGTCGCAGTTGTTCGTGGGTGGCGGCCGGCACTTATCATCAGTTGAGCCGCATGCTCGATTACCCCCTCTTCTATAGAAGCAAAAATAATTTCTATAAAAAAAATGTCATGTCCAATAAAAGTATATGAGCAGTATAAAAAAAGACAATGGTAATCACGATTATCTTTTTTTATCATCGCAGAGTAGCCAGTCTCTCGGTATTCTATAGGATGCATTTCGGTGAGTGTGCTCAGAAATTACACGCTTTAATGACATGCTAAGAGGCTTGATTTGGTTGAAACCAATCTTGTCAGCCTCGAGCGCAGGCGCAGAGTAGCCAGTCTCTCGATATTCTATATTTTCGATATTCTATACATTTAGGTTAGTGCGCGCAGGAATTACACGCTTTAATTCCTCCCTCTCCTTTCCACCATCGGACAACCAGGTGGTCGGCGGGTCTTCACCCCTTTGTTGTCGATATTCCACGCATTAGAACCAAAAAGTTTGATTCGTCTTTCGTAATGCGTACAGCAAAGGAGTGAAATAATTTGCCGGCGTCTATCTTTCCATCCGAATACAATCTGGGCGTCTTCAAGGCAAGAGTGTATAGGCTTTAGTTACGCTATGACAGTGCGATTTACCATCTAGGGTCAAGTGGTCAAGCACTGGCTTATAATAAGTAAAAAAAAACCTAACAAAATTAAGAAACATTAAACAATGCCAAAAATTACTATAAATAACCACAAACCATCTATAACCAAAAAATATTTAATAATAGGTATAGCATTTTATAAAATTTCACTTACTTCAATAGGATTGCAGAAAGTGATTGCCAGGAGAGTTGCAGCAGATAGCAGCGTGAGAGCTCGCCTGCACGCTCTTCTGCTGAGATTGACTCCATGTTTAAGTGACGTCATGACTTCTTCTCACGTCATTCGACCTTGATCACCTTGTGCACATTAATTTAAGAATACAGCTTAAAAATCAATGAATTCATATCTTTTAGTATTTTTAAGAAATACTGGATATCTCACTGAGCATGAATTTTAATTACTACTCGAAAAGTCAAAGGGAATCTTTAAAAGAAAACTCCAATCCATAAACCGTTTCCAATTTTAACATTCGCGATGCTGATAAAACATGTGTGTCTAACCTTATCATATATTTATTTCACCTGCAATGTGTGTATAATTAAGTATTATGGTGACTGTGAGATTGCAACAAAATGTAATTACTATGGAATTATTTGTTTTAATTCTATTGCTGCTGGATGAAGCCTGTACATTTGCTGTGGACCATAGAAACTTACATTTATCCGCAATAAATGCAGATGTGCGATCACTACTAGAAAGATTCTAGTAGTGTCATAACCCTTATTAAACAATTTTTGCTTAATAAAAAATTAATATATAGATAGATAGGTCCTGCATGTTTCTGGGACTGGTGTAAATTTTACAACAACAACCATCATTGATGAACTTTATATAATAAGTTAGATAATCCTAGAGTACAAATACTTTCCATAATATACAATATAGATTTATAAGTACATATAAGTAATTTAATATTATCAGTGTCCAAAATTTATACTAAAATGACAGTGCTTACTTTGATAACTTAAAAGTCTGTGTAGTCATAACATTTTGAAAACCAAAAACGCAATATTTTCTTCATGTGAATGTTTTGGTTATACTATAGATATACAAACAGTTAGTTAATTACTGCATCGAATACAATGAACTAGCCGCACTACTCTGCCGTCATACAGTTTCAAACTAGTACGGGAGTTAGAAGTCTAATTGGTTGTTGCAAAAAATAGCCAATATATTACAAAAAAATACCTACACAAATATCGAGTACAAATTCACGCATATTATTGTAATTGTTGGCTGTCTTGTGAATAAAGAATTATTATTATTAAAAAAAAGCGTATACATTGCCCCATGAATTTAGTGAATCTTTGGAAGCCAAGGAACTGGTATAAAATAAAATATATTCAAGTTAATCCAAAAGCTTATTCTTAGTATTCAGTGTTACTATGATAATTTCAAGATTTCCTTGACCGAGTTGCGGAGCCCTTGGTTTTGCTGTCTCGTGCAATTCTTAGTAATTTATCGCTTCGCTATTTCACTACAGCCGACTATGTCGTTCAAATATGACGTTACTCGTATTGCTTATATCCTAATTTCTCCTTCCCAATTCTATTAACTAAAGTTTGATTTCTCAATCATTAGATGTGAGCTATTCATGACAAAAATATCATTTTACTGAATATAAAAGAGAAAAATCAGTTTTAAAAAAAGGCCAGAGCGTTTATGCCGGTACGAAATTCGACTGTATGTTTTTTTATGTGTGTTACGTCATAACTTTTTACTGGGTGAACCGATTTCGATGATTCTTTATTTATTTGAAAGCTGGTGCTTCACATGTAGTCCTATATAAATATGATCAACGTCTTCCAAATAGTTTTTGAGTTATTCTTAATAATTTATATTAAAGTCGGTTGTACAAAATTTTTAATTTTAAATTATTAATTATAATATATTGAATAATATTAAAAAAATATTAGGACGAAATAACAATGATTATTTAAAGTACATAATGTGATTAATATTTAATTATTTCTATATCATTACTATAAATTCTAAGACTGACTATAGAAGTTCGATTAGTTAAGATGTTTAATAAGTAAAGTGATGACGGTGATTATGAGAAACGTCAGGAAAATTGTATGGCTTCCAATAGATGGTAGTTTATTTCGTCAGTCGTAAAATGTGCCGACCGGCGACGGCCAGAAGCGTAAAAAGTTTAAGATGTCTGGCGCTACAATCATCTGTCTGCCAAGCGTTACAATTAAGTCTACGAACTAATAACGAAGAAAAATGAAAAAGAATCTTTACCACGACAAAGATTCGGGAAGCCATTTTTATTCAAGTCAATCAACCTTAAGTAATACTTCTACACTTCTTAAGTATATTCTTGCAAATTAGATTGCAATATAAGCTACGAACTAAAAGTCGATAAGGCAATATTTTCCTGAATCACCGAGCACATGGTAAATCAGCACTTAAAATTGCAATCAACAATTGCATTGGTGCCGGTGGAGATCGAATGATCGAATGGCTACGGCTTTACATAGTTTGAAATTATTGTATACTTGTTTACATATATATTTGTATACTTAGTTGTTGTGTTTATAGCATTTTTTTTTCATTTTCTCCTCCCAAAGTTTTTAGTACGTACGCCAGCCATTAATTATTCCAACCGTCAGTTGCGCGCAGTTTCACGTGACGCGCGAATAATTTATTTGCTTTGAGGGACTGAAAATACACTACGAAGGTCAGTTTCATTGTTGCTTACACGGGATATTAATTTAGAAACTCAAGTACTTTATAGCTTCTTAAATTATATATTTACCATAGTATCATCTTCATCGACAAATACCACGTATACATCTTAAGACATTTTCTGTCGCAGTGCAATCGCAGTATACAAGATATTCCCTGCCTATCTATCTCTTAAGGGGGCGTCCATCAATCCTTCAATTACGTGAAGTAACCCCTTCCCCCTGGTGAGATGTCGTGAGATTTGGCTCGACTCCCTCCCTCCCTCCCCTCCGTCTCAAATATGTTTTACCTGTTGTTATTGATTGCGCTAAATTTATATAAAAAAAAATTTACGACTTTTATCGCGTTCAATATATTTATATTTAATTCCGGTTTAGATGGTTTACAGCTTTGGTGGACTATTGGTCATACTGTATATATATAATAAAGACCCATACCAACCGATACTTAAATAGTGAATCTCACCATCATCCATCACAGTTATCTACCATGAGAAAAATCTTTGTTTCAGAGAGTACAAGGGATCTGTGACAAAAAACATCTGGCCGCCGAGTTTAAACACGTCAAGCAAGTATTGCAAAACAACAAGCTTCGGAAGTGAAGCCAGCCACAGTCGTGCGTGTACTTGCTGTATTACCATATGTCAGAGGAGTCACAGACAAGGTTGGCTACTTCTTGAAGCGAGCTTCTATTAAAACATTCTACATGCCGCCGAAGAAAATTAGCCCAATTTTTACCATCCGTCAAGTGTAATATGACTTTTCGAGGAGTGTACAACGAGCTTGATTGGGAATGTGGTCTTTCTTATATAGGACAAACAAAAAGATCTATAAAAACCCGTGTGAAAGAACATATAGCTGACACGAAGCATCGACGCTCCGAGAAGTCTACAATCTGTGAACATATTCAAGATCGTCTCCGCCATTACATCAGATTTGATAGACCAAATTTTCTCGCAAAAGAACACCGATTCCTACCAAGGATGATATGGGAGGCCATTGAAATGAAAAAACATACTAATTTCAACAGAGAAGATGAATAGGTGCTGCCATCATGCTGCTCGTTCTGCGTAGATCGACCAAAAATTAATATTCAAAAACTGAAAATCGTACAATAGATTAATCAATGTGTAGTATTCGCGTAAATATAAGAAACCAAAATATAATTTTCTTAGTTATATTTATTTAAGACTAGTATTTAAGACCACTAAGAACGTAGTCTAGAATCACAATGAGAAAATCGAACAATAAAATACCTAAATAGGCACTACTAAAATTCGGAAAAGAATATTCATTCTAATTCAGCCCACGTGATTTTCTCGCAATTTTACTGTTTCTTGCGGAAAAAAAATATGTCCCTAATCCCTAAATTATAGGTATGTAGAGTAGAATAGAATTTACAATACGAAAAATATAAAACATGGCCTTGTGTATTTTCTTTAATAAATAGTTAAAAGGATATCTGGGCTGCAAGTAATGTGAAGAATAGGTTTTTAAAGATCTGTTGTCGGTGTATGACCGAAAGACAAAGCTAGACAACCGAGATAGACAACTACCGTTTGAACTGATGATACCTAGGAAAATTTAACAAAATCATCGTTCCGTATTGCGTTTCCGTTTTCTATCATCGTCTACAAAACCGTACCATTTTGCACCAATTTTTTTCATGAGCAACATAAGTCTAGTTTCTCTTTATTTCTTCTATTATTTCTATCTGACTTGTTTTTCTTTATTTTGTGTTTGATAAATTTGTAAATATATGTATATATATATATATATATATATATATATATATATATATATATATATATATATATAACGCGAAAATCCGTTTTCGCGCAAATATGAGAAATCATTATCATTTTGTTCATTCCGTTGTCTTAAAAATAAAAAGTTAGTAAAAACACCCACACATTTGCATTGTTTCCTAAATGAACAAAAATTTTCAGCAGCGTACTTAAAAACTGTTAATGATGATGAGATGGTAAAACCAGCTTTGGATTTATTAAAATTTGAGTTTTTTTTTAATATACGAATTCGATTCATTGTTTACCCGACTGCCCCACAAGGTGTCCGTTCCCAATTACATAGTTTAGTCTCTTTCTCAAAAGTATATAATTAATTCTTCAAAAACAGAGACCTTTCAAGTCTGGCCTAAGCCATTTCCGTCTGTAATATCGAAATAACTGCCTTGTATCGAGCTAAGGGCGTTATTTGCATAACACATGAGTAACGGTTTTTTTAAATTTTTGTCTGTCTGTTTGCCTGTCTGTCCGGGCTAATCCGGAATGGCTGAACCGATTGTAATAAAACTTGAAGAACAGATAGAGAGCAATTCCAGGAGTAACATAGGTTATATTTTATCCGAAGTCTTGGAGTTAAAATATTATGAAAAATTGGTAAAATAAATGGGTTATCTCGAATCTAAACATCGCCACATTAATAGATCCCACCCAGGTGAAGCTAAGGCGACGTATTTTTCAATGCGAATGAAGATGACGTTGATAATATTATTTGCTATATCGTTGCGTTCTCATAAAGTCAAACAATAAATTACTTTTTCCACTTATC